CCCCTCAGTGTCGACAGAATGCCCTATAAGATACCCTAAACCCTAACCCTAACCCCTCAGTGTCGACAGAATGCCCTATAAGATACCCTAAACCCTAACCCTAACCCTAAACCCTCAGTGTCAACAGAATTCTCCAGTAAAGTACCTGCTTAAAAGAGCAGATTTTTAACCGGGAGTCCTCTGAGACCGTAAATATGACTAAATGCACTGTCGATATTATCCCTAGTGTAAAATTAATTTTAAATTAATTTAATGCAAGCTCCCCACCCCGAAGAGAGAGAATTAATGACCTCCCCCCTCCTTCCCCCAAGTCCTTAAATACTTTTATGACCATGCATTACTGAGAGGGAGTCCCTTGCTCTGGTTCATTTTTATCCTATTTTTAGTCCTATTTGTCTAAGAGAGGCTGAAAACAGGTGTGTTAGAGTTTGCGGGGGGGAAGGGGGGTTCCTCTGCATTACACAGGTCACAAGTCACCCACCACACCTGCTTCTGCTCATTCATAAAACTACCCCCTAGCAGGATAATGCCCGACATGAACGCGCCGTGTGCATCTCCCACAGAAGGCTTTTTGCTGACTACGGTGTTAACGGCCTCCTGCTTACACGTGTCAGGCACGGCCCTACATGATGGCCTGCACTGCCTCCCTACACTGGCCACCAGCCACGGCTTACATATCACCCACCTGATCCACCCTGGCCAGCCTACAGCCCCCCCTGGTGGCCAAACGAGGCAATTCACTGTCCACTGCAGAGCCCTCCAGCAATAATCTGTGGCACTAATTTAAACCCAGAGCCTGTAAGATTCAGTGCCTGGGAGGATCACTGGCTGACCAGCTTGGAGGATCCACTCAGACATCCTGTTAATGGTGAATTAAAATAAACTGGTCATCTAGTTATTTAACCAAAATCTCTCATTCCTGTCATTGTCTATCAAAAAACGCACCCCTTTGATAAACTCACTAAAATGAGGACTCAATCCAAGGCTTGTTTAGCCATTAGTAACTTTGTGTAGGAAAATATGAGTCACAGGGAATTGAAGTGGTTGGTGTTTACCATTTCTAACCCTTAATATCTAAGATGTTACAGTTAACTATGCCGTATAAATCATGAAATAAAACTGAATGTTTTTTTATCTGGCCGGTTGAGTGTCTTTTAGAGTAGCTATTTGGTTGATATGCTGTGAAATTAAGTTTTCCTCAGCAACTAATAATTTACCACCAGAATAGCCCTGTGACTGTCACTTGTCACAAGGCTTTTTAAAAAATATATCAATGACCCATTCTGGGATCCTGACCATAATGGAAGAATAAATTGCACACTTAAGCCTGAAAGTGACTGAAAAATCTGAAAAAGTCATTAAAGGTTACATGTAGAAGGTTGAACTTGTCTTCTCAATAAACTAAAACGTTCAGAGTTTACCTGTGTGGTGGCATTGCATGGAAGTCAGGAATTCAGCAGAGAGCAAATGATACGATGATATATCAAAACTGCTGCAATTTCATAATTTTGTTCATAATGTAATTTAATCCAGACATACTTTTTAGGTTTGTTTTTAAGGTCCTCTCAGCAGTACCCAGAAATTCTGCCGTAAATTCATGCTGAACTTTGTGCAAAAATCAGAGCCGTAAAACAGAATCCCACAACTGGAGCCTTTCGGCACCAGAATCCGACACAAAGCGTCTGACGTCACCCTTGGCCTGTTCCCCATTTAAAGACACATGTGTTAAAAGACTGACTATGCGGTGCTGAATCCCAACCTGCCTCCAGGGAGTGTTGCGACTCGCCTAATTCACCGCAAAGCTTTGCTCCAATCGGCACTGGAATTGCTCAATCAAAATAATTTAACAAGCTCCGAGTCGCCATCTAACAGTGCAGTTTAAGTACAGTTTAAGGCTCCATCTAGCTCATTTGCTTCTATTACCAAACAATCCTCCCCATCTGTAAAAAAACAAAATAAAAAAAAACATATTTAACTCTACCTAAACAGTTGCTATTTATTGAAAAATATTTTACATACAGAGCATCGTGTACCATGCTGGCTTAGTAAAGTGTACAGCTTTCATGTATACAGAGTTACGACCCACCCCCACAAGAAGCCACGGATCACAAACATCTTGTTTCAACTTAGGCTGTCTGGCCGGCTGTGGACCAGCGACGCCTGCCGTAATTATGCCTACAGAAGAGAGATGATCTCAACACTTAGCATCCCGAGCTGATGACACAAGTAAGGAAACGACTGGAGCGCGATCCCCGCTCAGAGCCGACCGCCTGCCAAACTAAACGACCCGGCACGAATGGCAACTGGAGTCACCGGACGGCACTTCGAAGGAAAACCGTCGGGCGGGAGAAAGCCAGGCTCCCCGTTTACCGGAAACGGTTGTCGTGGTGCCATCTTCCCGTCTGGTGCTTTGTTTACTGAGGAACTGGTGCCAAGGCTAGTACGGCAGACTGGGTATCGGCCACACTAGTCTGTGAAAGCTGACAGAGGGAGACAGAAAGATAATCAGACAAGCTGAGGTACGTGGGCACAGAGGTGACGAGCTCCGAACGGAGATCCTGCAATAGTACCTCCCCATCAGAACAAGGTCAACCACAGCAAGTGGAACTGCATTTTGGGCACAGCAGTACAGCAGTAGCAACACACACACACACACACACACACACACACACATACAGAGAGAAAGAAGGAGGAAGGGAGAGAGAGAGAAAGAGAGAGAAAACTTTGTTGATTTTGGGCCAAGTAACTGGCTTGAATGCAGTTACTGTTACATTGCAACCCGAAGTTGTTGATCACGCACCTGCGCGGCACGCCTGGTCCCTGCTGTTGAACGGCTATGCCAGTTTGACAAAACCTTTACAAATTACTGCAATTCCATTGCTACAAACAATAATACTGTACTTTTTCGAAAATGTCAGGCTTACCGAGTGTCACATCCCAGTTGTAAGCCCCCGCCCTACGACTCCCCTCCGAACTTAGTTGTGGAGAGTTAAGGCGAAAACTCCCGCATTGGGGTTCGGAAGACGCCGTATTGAAAATACTGTTTCACCACAGTTAAAAACAGCCATCATCTGTCAAATAAAGACGTTTAAGCGACAAATCCAACATCAGTATACTACTTAAAGAGCTGCAGTCAGTATGCAGGCTGCAGATAATGTGAAAAAAAAAATAGGCTTGATCAATAAAAAATATATGCAGTGTACCTGTCCTGTTGGGTTTTTAACATAAATGCACCCAATCAACCCAAGTAATCAAATTACTCACGGTACATACGCACCACTGCAGGCAAAGGGACAGCAGGAGAAGATACTCGCTTCCTGGACGCCGTAACTTGAAAATCTGTTTGTAAAAACGGTGCCTGACAGCGTACGATCACATCCCGCTCGGCGGCGCGCTCACGTCCCGACCCCAGCGCAGGGGATCGCAGATATGCGCGCACGTCGGGGGCTGGGAGGTGGTGGTGGTGGTGGGGGGGTCCATACGCCGTAACTAAAAGGCGTGAGACAGCCGCAACTTTAAGCGCTGCGATTTTTACGTGCACGTTTCCCAACGCGAATCATCCACTTGCATTTTACCCCAATCTTACACATTAAAAAAAAAACCATAGAAGCATAGAAGCCGGGATGCGAGAAACGCCGCCCGACGACCCCCCCCCCAGCTAATTTAAACGAGCCCCGAAGCACAGAGCGACCCACGTACCTGAAAGGCGTCCGACGCCGCTGTCGCAGATCCCCCCACCCCCCAGTGCTGGGAGCGGAGCGGCAGCCCAAGCTGAGCATGTCTATTACTGGGGCCGGCAGAAAAAACGGGAAGGGGGGGTGAAACGGCATTTTCCTCACCACTGTGCACTCCTCGCTGTTGGTTCGTCCCAAAGTGGAGAAGGTTGGGGGCACTGATCATTTCGTCTATCTAAACCTCCGCTGTGTTAAAAGGGGGGGGGACCCCAATGATGACAGTTTTATCATGTACTGTAGAACTGAATCTACAGTAAAAACTGCACGATGTGTGACCCCGTAAATAAACTTTTAAAATATTATCTATAGTAGAAAAAGCATCGATGGATGGATGGAAATGTTCTGGGATAGAAAAGTAGTTCCCGTAGCCCCCAGACAGGACGGAGAAAGGGGGGGGGGGTCCGGAATATTCACACGTCTAACCAGACATGAGAGAGACGAAATCAAATCATCTGCTGTAACTTCTCAAGCTCAAAGTTACTGCCAAATACAGCAGTCCTTCATTTAGCGCTTGCTTTACATGAAATGGTCTCTTTTAATCCTGTTAATTTCATTTTGGGTATTTATGGAGGTCACTGCTTACGTCTAAAATAACATCTCATTTATTAGTATATTTATTGAGATGTTTTTAAAAATGCGGTTGCGTCTGCATTTGACGGCCTCACTTATAACGGATGTGACTGGGCCCCCGGAGAGTAATTACTCCGCAGAAATCACACGACACGGTGGCTAATGATTCCGACAACTCGGCCTTAGAAATAAATCTTGGAGAAGAAAGTCTGCACCAGCAAGTTCGCATTTATACGCTAGAAATGTAAGTTTAAAGGCAATGTAGGACAGCACGCAATGTCTGCATAAAATAAACGCATTTATCTTCTGGTGCGTTATTTATTAATGATGACATACACATACAATACAAGCAAGTGTTCTGAAACGGTAGCTTCAATAAGCAAATCAGTAAAACTAATTACTATTATCTTTATATTGCCATATTATTATCCAAAAATATTGTGAACCCTTAACGAACTTTCAGGAACATGAAGTTAGTTAGGAAGGCAGGACAGGTCTTCATGAAAGCTGGATTCGCTATAATGACAAAGCTCTTTGCTGCACCTCCTTCACAAACTGTAAAACTAAGTTCGAAATATGCAGTTGACGACAAAGCCTGTAATTTGCAGAAACTATTTACGGATTTGAAGGCGATCCTGTGGGCTCCTATGATAAACACTTTTCCCCCCACAGCTTACCGCATGATGTAAAAAACAAAACGATTTTGGTGACACGAAATCTAAGTGTTTGTGTTCTGGGCCTTGGACGCTGAAAGTGACCCTTTGGCCCCACAAACCTGCGTATGCGGTCCAGACGGAGGATTTCAGCAGAACCCAGTGTTACTGACACAGAATTATTAATGGAAAATAACCACAAAAAAAAATAATAACATCGATTAATAAAATTAATTTGGCACCCACCATTATATTATTTTATGTATCATTTTACAGGGCCCCTGTACAGTGCTGGGACCCCTGCATCTGTCAAAGTGTCCCCGACCCGCCAATTCCCCTCTTACAGGTATTACATAGAACCACACTTTCATTATTTTAAAAAATATTTAGAGGTCTGATTCACCCTGTGGATGCCAGTTGACTGTCTTTTAACATGAACTGTACTGTTGTCGTGCATAAAATTTATAGAGAATTTTTTTTTTAATCTATAATTGTTTTTCTGCTTAACGCGTGGCTTGCAGATGCATTTTTACTCTCAGCAATATAATCTTTGGAATTGAGAATTTATCACAGTTTTCTCCTATGCAAAAAGATTTCCACTCATGACATGGTTAAGTTAAAATTGATCCTGTGCCCTCTGTCTGTAGAAAAGTCCAGATTGGGGCGTGTGTTTCAGATAGCGGCCTGACTTAACTGGCAGATGCTGTTTTTTCCTGTTCCCTGTCGAGCATGTCGTGGGGCTTCTTGAAAGTTGAGTTGCAAGCACGAAAATAGGAGTCTGTACATAAACACAAAAGCACTATGTTTTGCAAGACAGTAATATATGGTAATAGAAGGCAAATTACATGTCCGTATAGTGATAATTACTAATATACTAATAATAAGTACTGTACAATATATATAGATATGATGCAATTTTGGCAAGATTCAAATATATATGTGGAAAGTTGATCTTGAGCAAAACACAAACAGAAGGTTCAGCTACTGATGCAAAATATTTTTGTTCGGTTTATGAAGTTTAAAATTGGTGACACAGTCTGGTTCAGTCCCCAGAATATTGCTGGTTTAATTCCCGGAATTAGGACTGCTGTTGAACCCAATATAACTCTTCTGAAATGCTTCTGTGGTGAACCCCAGTGCTCCAATTGGTTAAGTCACTTTTAATAAATCTGGTTAGCAAATGGAATGTTTTCCATGTCACGTCTGTCTTGTGTTGGTTTATAGGTAAAGAACACAAACAGCAGCTCCACACATACATCCACACATCTGCTAGCAAGGACTTCCACCCCAGGTTCTCCAGTTACCTCTGGAGCAGACAGCTAGTGCCAACTAGATCGCTGTGGCTCGCAGACCACCGCACTCGTCGCAAGCCCCAAAACACACTTCCTGTCGTTTCCGAAATAAATCCCGGGGTTACAGCAAGTGCTGCCTGTAACTGACTACAGATGTGCAACCTAAATGTTGGAAAGTCCCAGTATCTAACCAAAAGCGATGTGGATCACGAGGCTGGTGGGCCTCATTTCAGCAGCTTTGGAATGACATTACAATTAGACGGCATCAGCCCATGTGACAGCATGGGGTACTGGCTGTGATTTAAAGTGCTTTCAGTGTTCGCCGAGATTTCAAAAGGTGGAAGGCGGTCTAAACGGTGTCCTGGTTAAAGGGGCACATGCCAGAGTAAATCAAAACACATGCTCTCCACCAGAACTAGGGAGAGAAGGTTCTCGTGGGCTTCTGGTCATGTGACGGCGGCTCTCGTTACATTCCCCGAGGTTTAATAAATGTCACTTGATTAATTATAATCACTTCTGTTGGCAACTGTGAATTCTTTATCATTTCAATTGAGTTTTAAATCTGAAATGAGATATTACAGCCTGCAATAAGTATCTCTAGGATTTCTATACAGAACGTACAGTATGGCTTATTTCACACGGGAATCGGTGGGGCTTCCGGGTGGAAAAGTTTGACAAGTTGATATCATATGGATGCTCTTAAGATCAAGCAATTATATATTCCAATTTTATATTTCAAGTTCAGTTTGCAAAATCAAAGAGACTGACAGAGTGGGGCAGAGATTTAAACAGGCCGTGTCGTTTGAATAATTACCGTCGGTCTCATTCCCGAATGGCCACGCGGTGATTCTGAACTGCCATCGCTCCCCTTTCTTGTCATGGTGGCGCTTATTGCTCTGGATGGAAGATTAGGGACTAATGTGAAGATTGAAAATCCCTGAAGGCTCACTCCGATGTACTGCATGACTTAACATATTATGCAATAAGGAACACAACACCTAATGCTCACACAGTGGTATTGTGAAGACGGGGTTGGATTCGATGTTTTAATTTTTAATCCAGTATTAGTCAAAAGGGAGACACTAGGGCAGCGCTATTCAAATCACGGTCCTCATGAGCCAGACACTGCTGATGTTCCAGCCTTCCTTTAGCTGTGCGCCGGGGGAGAAGCCTCTGGCCAATCAGAATCAGCGATTACTAAATGAACCGAAAACAAGGCCTGGATTTGGAATGAACTAGAATGAGAGCAACGTTCCTATCAGGCTGTTTTTTTTTCCCTCTGTGGTGTAGCGGGAACCTCTTCATGAGGTCGTCCTCTCCAGTATGAAGTGGTGACATCAGCCGTTTCCTTACTTGGGATTGGCGACTCTGCATCAGGCGCCCAATCATATCGCGGCTGGCGCTGAATGGAACCATTGTCTGCTGTATCTTTTCTCCCTCTCCACTCATTGCGCTGACACAATGCAACCGGACAGCAAAATTATTGGCTTCCAGCGGCTCTTCTTTCTCTCAATGGGAGCATGAAAAGAACTCAGCAGTCAAAAGTCCAAAGTTGCCCTCATACTTCACTGACAATGTATAACAACAAAAAGAATAATAATATTACCCTTTAAAATTCAGCTATCTTGCATAATGGCTTATGCAGTGCAGGGTCGTGGTGTCAGACTGGAGTCTGTCCCTGGAAGCGGAGGCCACAAGGCAGGGATGCTGGTCCCTCACAACGCACACACTCTCTGGGCAATTTAGAGACATCAGTTCAACTATGAACATGTTTCGGGACTGTGGGGGAAAAAAGGCGTCCCTGGGGGAGACATCAGGAGGACACATAGTGGGGGTGGCATTCGAACCAGCGACCTGTTGGCATGAGCCGTAACAGCTCCTCACTTCCCTTTTACATTAAAAACAATTTTGGGTGATTAAACAATGCAAACCTGTGTAGTTGCCCCTTTCTGTGTCAGGGCTATAGGGTCTGTCGTTCTACTCCGTTTGTGTATCGGTCACATAATGAAGGTTGTCCCTGTATTACCTGGCAGGCCGACGACGGCTGACAGACATGGGTATAAGCATCTCTGGTTCACAAGGACACATAACGCACCTGGTGACAGATAACACCCAGATGTTTCCTCCACTACCCATGATGCCCCACCTTTTGCAGTGTGACCCGCTGTGGAATCAGCTGCCCACACGAGGCACCAGGGAGCCAGTTACACCAAAGGACACCCATCCACCTGGAACTCTACCTGCTATGACCCTCTCCCACCTGTGATGGTGACGTGAGACCCGTCCACTGCAGGCAGCAGATTTAATTCC